AGGGGGAAAGTGGACAGCCCTGTTGCGTACCATTCAACATCTGAAAAGAAGGTGAAAGGAAGGAGACCAATCTGACCTGCGAAGAGGGGGAAGAATAAAGAACCTTCAAGGCTTCCACGAATGGGCCCCGGAAGCCAAACTTCTCCAAGAACATAAACATGTAGAGCCAGCTGAGATGGTCAAAGGCTTTTTGGGCATCTAAACTCAATAATATAGCAGGGATTGAAGATCAGTTAACCAGGTCAACCAGATCAATAGATCCCCTGGTGTTATCTGCAGCATGTCTGGCAGGCACAAAACCTACTTGATCTCTGTGTATGAACTTTTGCTCCACCATTCCACATTTCCATTTAGGACATACCGCAAATCACTCGCCATGCACATGGTAAATTCGGCAAAACAATGTATCCCAGTTCACTGGCGTTAAACACATGTTCCCACTATTCGAGATGGTTTGCTAGGATCAACAAAATTGAGGAAATGGAGGAACTTATTTCTGTAGCAAAAGACCATCCCGAGAGATTCAGGAAGACATGGGCTTGTTGGAATCACTTAAAAACCACTACAACCTATCACCTACTACTGCATGAACAGCATACACCCCCCGACTAAATAAATGGACACAATGTTATGTTATACGACACCCTCTCCATCTGTGACTCATTTAATGCATATTCAGACGGATTGAGACTCAACATCATAACCTATCTTTCAGGTTTTTGACCCACATATTAGCCCATTAAATGATCTCGCACATATTAACTAACTTAGCTATATAGTTATCTTTCTGGCTCGTATAAAATGACCTGATTTATTTTACCTGCAGTTACCCCTTCCAACGTCCCCTCAACTCCATATCCATTCCCTCCTCCCCCCCCCCTCCCATCCCCCCTTTTTTTTTTCTCTCCTTATATTCCCCCCTTCTACCTCACCTTGCCTCTTTTTTTCTAGCTGTTAATCTCTCTGATTTCTCTTTACCTCACACCTATTGTACGATTTTGTCAACCATATATCTCCAATAAAATATAGCATGTAATCTTTCATACAGGTGTGCTTAGACTCACGTAGATCACACTCTCCCGAAATGGGCACACAAATTATAACGCACATACCAACATGTGCTATTTTTTTCCCAGCACTTTACATTCCTCCAACATAAGAGCTTACAAGCAGATAGGTCAGTAATTAATATACCTATTATGATTTACCTATTGTACCTTTTGTATCTGCTGGTTTGATATACAATTTTGGATATAAAAGTTATATCTTGCTATGATTTGTAATACAATTCAAACCCATAGCGTCTATGTTTGGACTGTAACCCATATTTGTTCTCATATTGATCTGCCTTAACCCTTCCAATAAAATTATTTTTGTAGAAAAAAGAAAACTCTTATAATCCATATGCTTACTAGCCTTAGTAAATAGATAAGAAAGTGTACTATATCTACTTGTTTTAACTTTTTTTTTTCTGTACATTTCTTCAGTTGCTTTATGTTTTTTGCCTAGGCCAAAATTATGTCATACATCCCAGGAATCTTCATGGAGATTTTTTTTCATTCAGAGGAGGAGGGGAGGAGGGGCTTTCTCAGCTAAGCATGCACTGCTGCTTGCATGGCTGAGCTAAAGGCAGAAGGATTTCCAAAAGTAAATGCCCTTACTCAAGATGGCCACTGCTGGAAAGGCTGGGATGGGGGAGGGTTATAATGTGGTTTCTCAACAAAAGAACAAAACAAAGCATGGAGACATGGATGGTTGGGTGAGTTTACTTTGAATATTAAAAAATATTTTTATAGCATTTTCAGTATGTTGTTCTCAGATACAGTTAAGTTCTGCTTTAATGCATACGTAGTATGGTATGCTATATAATCTTACACCTCTCAATAGTTTATTTCATCTGTCATTTGACTGCCTATGTTGCCATTTAGTTGAGATTGTGCTGTAATTTTTATTTACTATCTTGCTGATATTTAATTTGGTGTCATCAGCAGAAATGGCATCATTACTTTCTTTTCTGCCCAAGAAGTCATTTTTTTTTTTTAAAATGGTCTCTATACAAAAACCTATGACAAAAGACTATTAAGTTTAACCAAATTTGAATGTTTTTAATTTACTACTACTCTGCGTCTTTAGTGATTTAAAGCTTAATTTTACAAAAAAGTAAGTCCCATATTGTGCAGTCAGCTGTATCCGAGACAATCTTCACTGTGAGTATGCCTGTTGTCTTCTTGGCTCTGAACTTTAAATGATTTTTATATAAGCTAAATTTCAACAAACCATCTGGGTGTACATATATAAATGATTTTTTTTTCAGCCTATGGGCTAAATGAAAATAATTGAACAGATTTCCCTATTCACGCTGTACAGCACAGATGGGGTAATCTGGTGTAGCTATTTTATTCTGTTCAGCCAACAATTTTCTGTCCAACTCCTTTGATTTTTTCAATAAAAGATTGTTGAGCAAGAGACAGTTATCAGGGCCACTAACATAGTGAATGCCAGCTGATTGCTCAGGAACTGGCCAAAATTCATATAGTGTATATTCAGCCAAAGTCAGTTCAGTAGGACCATTGTACTTATCCACCCTTTGATGCTGACTAGGCAGAATACATCATAAAAGTGCTGAAATACATACAGTGTAACCAGGTTAGGTCCCTCCAGTTACAGTACCTTGATTCATGGGAAGTATCATGCAGAACTGAGCAAATAATGGATTTGGAGGAGTGGACCCCAGTATTCACTCTGCTGGGAAAATATTCAATTCATCCAGCATTATTAGAGAAGAGATATATAGAGTAGTTCAGGGGACCACTTACTAGTTCACTTTCCTGTAGCAAAGTGGCAGTGGGACAGTATGGATTTCCTACGTTTAACAACTCAAGGGGGTTGGAATGAGCACTGTGCTGCTTTTTTTTAATAAGAAAAAAATAGTACTTTCTTATTAGGATAGTATGGTTCCAAATAGGAAAGTATTATATTTTCTTATTTGGTCAGCACTTTATTAGGCAATGGCATTACAGGTGGAGGAGATTTTTCCCTATATTCCCTTGCATCATAATGTGGTATCCCCATTGATGTTGACAGTTACCCTTAGAGTGGGGATTTCCTGTTTGCAGCATGTAAATAAACTAGTAAGAGGTCTGCTGGGTGAAAACCAACTGTATTTGCAGTGAATTGGGACAAACCATAGTGATCAGGAAAAAACGATCTGCCTGTTACAAGAGACATTTCATCCTACCCATAGATAAATATTTCAGCACTTGGGCACCATGGGATTTTTCTTTACCAGAAGTAAGGGGGAAGAAGAGAGCCATAATGATATTTTGACATTCTCTCATAGTCCTTGCTATCACACGATTATAAATAATAGATTATGTGCACATTGGAAATTTTCATGTAATTTAGTTTTTGATGCATTCACTTATTGAAGAATTTCGTCATATTTGTTATGTTGAACCAATTCGTTTTCAGGTTTGTTTCATTATATTTAGCATATTGAAAAAAATTGCAGTTTTGCTATATATTAGTTTTTGAATTTGATATTTTGGGTGGATTCATTATTTATAGATCAAAAATATTCATAAGGATTCAATATTTTCAGAAGCAACAGAATAAATAATGCAAAATTTGGCAGCCCTGAATTTTTTAAACCTCAGAATTGCATTAGACTGTGGAACGGAACTGACTGACTGTGACAATTACAAATTCAATTTAAATCACAAAACATACTCAAATTCAAATTATCAAAAGAAATTTAAAGTTTAATTAATTTCCTCATGGACCCGAACTACAATCGGAGATTTGTAAATTGTACATCTGGATCTCTGAAAATCAACTTTTCGTATGAAAATGAATTCATTATGAAATAAACCACAAATGTCTAATGAATAACTTTATGAAATGCTTTTGAAAAATCCATGTATATCTCATAACTAACATCTCTGCATCCATAACATCTAGATTTACACCTTCCTCCTAATAGAAACAAACATTTGCTTTGTACTTTGGTGTTTATCTTTTAAAAAGTCTATATTATCAGTTTTTTTTTTTTCCTTTTCTGAACTAGTAGAACTTTTATAGGATTCATTTTAGTCCATTAGTAACCTGCATGAAGGCTTCATTCTTTCCTAAAGTAATTTATTTTTTGAAAATGTTTTACATTATCCTCAAATTGCTTAATGATTTTTTCTCTGAGACCTCAGACCTTAGACGCTAACATTGAGTGGTGTGACAAAATATAAAAACAAATGCAATTAATTAGTAGGCACCACACTACTAAATGCCTGTATTGTAATAACATGGCTTCCCAGACCAGCACCAGAATCCCTCCTCTGGTAGTTGGAGTTTCAAAGTGCAGTTATAATCATATAGTTCATTTACAGGATTAGAGGCTATGGTATGTCCATACCACAGTCTTGCTCTAAATGCAGTATATAACTTTTGTGTCTTATATCCAAAACTTCTGTACCCAGCCATATTGATGACCTTTATTACAAATCTAGCAAAGCTTTCCCGTTGACCGATTCATTCATCAGTTGTTTAAGATATTAGTGTAAGATACTTACACTTTAATGTGAATTAAAAAAATGTTTATTTTTCTTGTTTTTTCACCTGTAGCAAAAGTTTAGGATTATCCATTATGTGTAATGACTTTTCAAGAACTACAAAACATATTTTAAAGTCATTACTTTTCACTTGTATATTCATTTAAAAAGTTCAAGTTGTTTTCTTTTGGTGCTGGTCACTACTGATCTGTGTGATATAGCAAGGCTGTGCACTTCAGAATCTAACATTTGAAGATTATCTGACATGCTGAGTTTTCAATTGGAGTGAAAAGCCACGGGTGGCCTAAAGTGCATCTACACCCAAAACTAAAAGGTAATATATTTCAGCTTACTAGCCCTTTGACTAGTAAGCTGCAATATAACACAGCTACACTAGTTTTTGTTTTTTTCCAAGCTTTTTTTTGTTACTTTACACCAGGGGCGGACTGACAACTCATGGGGCCCCTGGGCAATAGGGGATCATGGGGCCCCTGTGCCCTTGCCCAAACACAAAAAAAGCCTATGAAAAAGGTACCAGGGGCATCTCATGGGGCCCCCTACTGACCCCGGGCCCTCGGGCAGTGCCCGAGTTTACAAATGATCAGTCCGCCCCTGCTTTACACCACACAGAGGACAAGAAATGATTCTTCCTTGCTTCAGCTTCAACAGGGAGGGACGCTTTAAAGCCCCTAGGGGAGCATGGCTACTGAAGTCCTACAAGAGGTCAACAAGGAGAACCCCTTTCATCCCTTCCAGCCATTCATCACTCAACTCAACTTGACCCACTCTCCTTCAAAACCTTTGGGCACTACCTCTTGACTGGGGAAAACCCAATAATCACAGAGAGAGCATACCAACAGGGGAATTATTTAAATGAGGTTGACAACATCCCTTTAGAGGCTCCCTAACATTAATACACAAGTCACTTTTGTCTTCTTTGTTGTTTAAAGCCTGAGTGCTGCCAACACAAAAATCAGAAAAATGGGCATAACTTACAGTCACTAGGATGTGACCCTTATGCTGATGCCTCTTGGTTGAAATCCTCCTCTATCCAAGCTCCCTTCCCTTAACGCTCTAATCTTCTGGTGTGGCAGGGGTTAATAGAACTAATTGGATGTCACAGGCTCTCATTGACAGTGCCCACCCGTTCCACTTATCTGTGCCATTCATAGAAGCAGTAAGCTTCAATGAATGAAACAAGATCAAGGAATAGAAGGGATGGTCCTATCAATTGTGCAGCTATCCTTCTTTCATAGACCCTGTTTTATGTAAAAGTACCATGTTCCCTTTTTTTGGAAATTATGTAATATTTTAAATGGTTATGAGGTTATTAGTACCATTTGTACTGTGTGTGGGGAGTTTTATAAGTTCCTACAATTATTACAAGGTGGAAACAAGAGAAAGAATGTTTACTTCTTCGACTTCTTCCTTGCCATGTACTGGAGATGAGGTGGTGACCTTGTGCAATGTTGTCTCTACTGAATATATTACTACAAAGATCACATGGTCAACAATTAATAGTATGGAGCTCTTGCCTTTAACTTTTAGGGTGTTCTGTTCAATACTATGTATACTACTTTACTACAATACTATTTTCTTCACACAGTGAGTGTCCTCATTCTCTTCCTTAAGAAAACACATAAAGAACTCAGTTTTGTCCTTGCTCTTGTCATTGGGCTTTCCACACATTACTAGTTGCTTCTGAGATACCGTAGGCCAGAAAAATAAAAAATGTATTAAATAAATTTCATCTGTCCTCTTTTTCATCCTTGGTTACCCGCAACTGCAGTTTCAGAGGAAAAGAAAACTGAAAAATATTAATAGGAAATAAATATTTAATAAGTCATTTTCAACCTTAAGCTTCTTGCAATGCCTAATGTTCTCACTTTAACACTTCTGTAAGATAAAATTGGCCAAAAAATTTAAATCATAGTGTGCATTTAAGTCAACTTGGATTATGTATAGGAAGTCAATTGGAAAAATAGGAATTTTTAGACATTCTTAAATGTTTGTTTGTGTAAACATGAAAAGGGCTTTAACTTTAACAAATAATGTTATCACTGTGTATTAATATTTAAAAAAAAGGAATTTCTATATATAGCTTGTAATTATATATGTACTTGGAAGCCATATTTCCACATTTTACATGCAGGCTTTGCTTTTTTCATTGCAGTACTACATAGTGGTTGTGCTTTACTGCTCCTTCTCGGAGTGAGACTGCATGAATCAGGAGACTTTTTTTTTTAAATTTTTAATTTGCTGTCTGTGTCTCTGCTGAGGAGATTCACACTCTCTAATTATAGAGACCATTGCCAGCAGGACTGAAAGTGATGGGAATTTCAATATTTTATAAGACATATAACAAAAATTACTTTAAGGTAAACACTGCAACAATAAACAACTCAAAAAAGTGTTTACTGAAAAAAACACATACTTTCCAATTAATCCTAGGAAACCATAATGAGCAAATTAGCAATCTTTAGTGTATAATCACACCACATATTGGATTGCACTGAGGAAAAAAGAGGCAAATCAGATATTCAAAGTAAATATGTTGCAAGCCTGGACAATATAATTTGACCACAAGATTAAAAATATACAGTAGATGCACAGGTTACATTCAGTAAAAAGTACATGTTAAAGCCTAGTTGATCCACAGTTACAGACAGCTGATGTTATAGGCAAATCTCAGTTTGTCCCTGCCCCCTTGTAAAACTGCACTTTGTTTGGTGCACCTTGATTCTAACGAAGGACCACTAGCTCTTAACCACTTCAAGTCCGGACACTTTTACCCTCTTCCTGTCCAGGCCAATTTTCAACTTTCAATTCTATCACAATTTGAATGATAATTGCGCAGTCATGCAACACTGTACCCATATGAATTTTTTAGCATTTTTGTGACAGATAAAACTTTATTTTGGTGGTATTTATTCACCACTGGAATTTTTATTTTTTTTGCTATATGAATGAAAAGGTCCAAAAATTTTGAAAAAAAAATGTTTTTCTTATTAAAGTTTGCAAATAAATAGTCTTTCTTCATAACTCTTGGCCAAAATTTATTTGGTTATCTTTTAAGTAAAAAAAATAATTCACATTAGTTTATAACCAAAAATTATAATTTTCCTAAATTATTTCTTACATTTTTTTTTTTTATATTATTATTTATGTTTTTTGGGGTTTTTTTTTTTTTTACATACTGTCACACTAGCAGTACAGTGTCACCATAGTGTGCACTTGTGGGGAGTGATGAAGATTTTTTGTTTTTGTACACTGATTGCTTTTCACCCATAAAGGCTATAAAGGCAATCATTTATCCTTCTCTCTGGCTGCATCCTTGCAGCTTTTGAGAAATACTGTGAGAGCTGTGATTGGCCACAGCTTGTCACATGGTACAAGACCATTGTGAATAGCCTTGTACCATGTGACCTCTGTGATCATTCACAGATTTCAGTAGTAGTAAGCAATGATGTTAGAAATGACATCTTGCTTACTACTATCCATGTGATCACTGATTGGCCAATCAGTGATCACATGATCGGGAACTCACACAGAGGTCCCATACAGCGATCGGTGTTCCACTGTGTCCTCAAAACACAGCAGGAACCGGATCGCAGTGCCACGCGCTCCCAGGGAACGCGCACAGTCTGAAAATGTGGGTGCCATTTATGAACGGCAACCCGCTCCTGCACTTTTCCCCTTCCGGCCGTTTATGTACATGGGTGGTATGGGAAGTGGTTAAAACAAGAGTTGGGTTTATTTGCAAACAGGGATATACAGCACATATATTATAGTTACCAGTAGGGAAATAGTAAAGGGGATAAGATAACAGGGAGCTGGAGGTAGATGGATAGGGAATAAGGGAGTCCTCTCTAGGCTAACACACATGCATGCACTCTGAATCTTTCACACCAGGGTGTCCTGTCCAATTTTGAAACACACCCTCAGTTGGGTCCTAGCAAATTGCATCCTTGATCCATTGTTGAAGATATCTTGCACCAGAGGTCACAAAATATGATTCTTGCCCCAGGCTCAGAGTTGCATTTTTGAGGAGATGATTGCACAGATATCCATATGTTTCCCCACAGATGTCATGCTGTAATACTGACCAGGTGTTGGGGCAGTAAATTCCCTTAGGGGTCCTACTAGTCGATATGCTGATGATCTTATGCATTCATCTAGTTCTTCTGTTTTCTTTACAAGCTTCATCTGCCTTAATAAAAATTCCTTTGCAATTTGCTTCCAGAGAAGACAAATTTCAATTCATGTCATGTGCTTTAATATCAATGTTTTATAAAAAATAAAACCCCTGAAGCAATTGGACCTTCTGTTCAACTAGTGACCCCAATGAACAGTATGAAGGCTTGCGAGGTGAAAGGAGTAGGGCCAAGCTTGGCCTTACTGACCAGTAAGAAGGCTTGGGAGATCTTCAGCTTCCTGTACCTCTGGACTTACTAATCATTTCACTGAATGTATTATGTGTTTTGTCATCATGTGCTCTGTTTGCATTGCCTGAATTTGTGATGGGTTTATTTTCAAAGTCTGCCTATTTTTACTTCAGCTTTAAACAATTTTATGTTTGTGGCCCACATTGTATTGCTATAAAGATATGCTTGTTTTTAATTGCTACTCATTAATAAACCCAGGAGTTTTTTTATTAACCTTTACAGGCTTTGGTTGCTATGAGGTTTTTTATTTAAACAGCACGCGTTTAGCTGCTTTATTATATAAGCCAAATTGTACATAAATGTCTATTTATAAGTTCTGTTCAATAGGTTGGTGGGTGTTTATTTTTCAGCAGCTGATTGTCAATGTAGGATGATAATTGGCAGGTTTAACCACAGTATTATCCAAACATGTGTTGTAACCTTTTTTCCATTTTATAGCGTGCTTAATTAAATGTTTTTGACTTGTAATCTCCCCATGTTCCCCAAACATGAATGCTTTAGCCTTATATGTAAATAACTAGCCCTATTTTGCAAAAATGGAATCTCAGAATTATATGTTCTACTCTTTTGACCTTGCACTATTCTTCAAATGTGGTTCTGTGTTTGTTAGAAAAAAATAATACTTAGAAAAATTTAACAGCCTGTAATTGTAAGCCAGCTCACCCCCACTGTTTCTGTAAATCAAACTAGATACAATAGGCATTATGAGCTATTGTATGATTTTCTGGACAGGTATTCTCTCCTATCATTTAATATGCATGTCTGATGCACTTGCCATTGCGCTCTGTTTTTTTCCACACTTTCCATTGTTCCTATTGAACACGATACAAATTTAAGCAGCTAGTGTATATTTAACACAGCTGAATCACTGCGACTTTTACTGTTCTCCAGCAGTTTCTGGCATAGGGAAAACAGTATGCAGTGTTGTGTTTCCAATTCAGGTAGGCTTTGCTACAGTACATGAATATTTTTGAATGGTAAAAACATAGCTTATCTGGGGTTAAAGTATTACTGCATGTTCACTTTATAGTGTGCATTTGTAATTATAGTTTATCTGATTTAAAGATTAACCCTGTTATGAGCAGC